AGGACAACACAGCAGAGATACAGTTCACCACAAATTTGTTTCGTGTCATGTTCATGTGTGGCTTCAAGCCCAAGAGCACCACACCATTGCTTGAGGAATCATATACATCTTCTTTCACTCACTGACCTGAGACAGCAGGAGCAATACATTTTGTACCGAAACACTTGAACCATAATATCACTAAGAGGTACACTGTGAATGACAAGTTGACCATGAGCCAGCAGTGTGCCCTGGTTGCCAAGAAGGCTAATGGTATCCTGGGGTGCATCAAGAGGAGTGTGGCCAGCAGGTTAAGGGAGGTTCTCCTCCCCCTCTACACTGCCCTAGTGAGGCCCCATCTGGAGTACTCTGTCCAGTTCCGGGCTCCCCAGTTCAAGAAAGATGAGGAGCTGCTGGAGAGAGTCCAGCGGAGGGCTACAAGGATGGTGAGGGGACTGGAGTATCTCTCCTATGAGGAAAGACTGAGGGAGCTGGGCTTGTTTAGCCTCGAGAAGGCTGAGGGGACCTAATAAATGCTTATAAATTATATCTCAAGGGTGGGTGTCAGGAGGATGGGGCCAGACTCTTTTCAGTGATGCCCAGTGACAGGACAAGGGGCAACGGGCACAAACTGAAGCATAGGAAGTTCCAGCTGAACATGAGGAAGAACTTCTCCACTCTGAGGTTGATGGAGCCCTGGAACAGGTTGCCCAGGGAGGCTGTGTAGTCTCCATCTCTCTCTGGAGATATTCAAGACACACCTGGACAAGTTCCTGTGCACTCGGCTCTAGGTGACCCTGCCTCGGCAGGGGGGTTGGACTAGATGACCCACAGAGGTCCCTTCCAACTCCTATCATTCCGCGATTCTTACAGCATGTAACAAGAGCTCGTGCTTTGACAGCAAGTCTATGCTATCTACTACTTCACCTTCAGAGAAACACCTGGAATCCAACCAGGTATGTAATGCTGAAGTAAAAAAAACCACAAAATAAAACAATCAGAAAAACCTTCCTGGCTTAGGTCTTGAGCCAACAAAGTAGCCTGTAGAAACTGTAGAGTAAATCAAGTTTTTCCACCTCTTCCTACATGCTCGACAGGAACGCAGAAGTGCAGAACGCCTCTTCTACTCCATCTTCCACTTGCTGAGCACTGCTTCTATCGAAGAAATTGTCACATGAAAGGAAGGCAGCAATTGTTGCCAACAATTTCCACTTAGGTGAGAGCCATCTCAGCCTCGCTGCATGCCTACTGACAAACCAGGCTGGGCTGACTGGATCACAAACAGAATTAGCACTGGCACTTTACTGCTCTTGCCCCACACGATGCAGGGAGGCAGACCCCTCACTTGGCCTGAACACTGCTGGCATTCCCAAATGCAGCCATCTTCCTCCGGGTTCATCAGGGCAAGTTCAGCATTTACTTTAGAGGCAACAGCTGCTCCTGTCCCACTCCCAATGCCTGAAATTTAGGCATACCTGCACCTAAGTCAATGCTGAGATTCATTAAAGCTGTACCCACTCAAACATTCACAAGCAACAGATTACTGACATTTGACTTCTCCTGTATGCCCACCAGAAGTCACTGTGGGTAAGACTACACTTTAACAGTTTCATATAACGCATATACTACTACTAGGGGATCACAAGAGGCGAGGACAGACCAAGACACAGGGCAAACTTCTCAGCTGAACTGTAATTCAGTGACAGAGGAGATGGGGAACCTTCCCATCTTCTCCTTTATGGGATGTGGCAGAGAGAAGGGAACCTCTGTAACTTCTACTCAAACGCATTCAGCACCAGAACAGACCAGTGGCACTCTGCTTCTTGAAACTCAACATTTCATTTAGCTGATGTCTTCTTGCATATTGGAACACCCAGATATATGTGCCTTTATAGTTACCACACAGGATAAAAACAAGATTATTGGTTTAGAGATACGTAGCATTAGACCAATTGACATCTGAACGGAAAAAAAACACCAGCCTTCAAGCTCACAAGCCCTTTTCAAATCTCACCTTGCCTTTAACTCCTTGGCCTTGGATCAGCTGTGTAACAATATAATCACTACTATACATCATAAATCTACAGCTCACTGCAGATAACTTCTTAAGCCTCCCATTCATAGTCATCTCAATGCAATATTAAAAACTTTATGCAACAAAAATATCTTGGTCCATTTTTCCCCTCAAAATATTTTATTTCCAATTGATTAATAAAACCACACCTGTGACTAATCATTTGTCCCATAGCATCCTCCATCATTTACTTCTGAGTAGGCAGTACCACGCAAAGCCTTCTAAACTCTGAAAAATATTTACAGCTTTTGTGTAAGAGAAATATTAACTATTGACACAACTTAGGATGTATGGAAGTGATTAATGTAGGTTATGTTTCACAACATTTTTGCATAAAGATGTGCAACAAGTTTATCCATGCAAAGTAGCTGGAGAAAAATAAATCTGAACTCACTAAAAAACTGAACAAAAATTACTCCACAAATTACCCAGTCTAACTTTCCTACTATATCATACCTGTTACGTTCCTGTGAAACTATTGTGACCTCTGTCAAATTTAAATATTCTACTTAAATTCTATGTAGTAAGATGATAAAGGTAAGTAACTGCTTGATTTAAGCAGTCTTCGTAGACTTTATTTAAGACCTGCTTTCCTTTCTGACTTGCTTCAAAAATAAACCCCTTAACCTTCCAGGTACAGAGCGAGCAACTCTTAGTTACTCTCATGGTAGCTTACAGTTGCACTCCACAGAATCACAGAATAGTAGGGGTTGGAAGGGACCTCTGTGAGTCATCTAGTCCAACCCTCCTGCCGAAGCAGGGTCCCCCCCAATTGTCTAATTTGAAACAGATTTCCTTCTGATATGTAACATTTCCCTCATTTTCCTGTGTTGCTTTGGCACAGGTGGTTTAGTTTGCTAAGAATGCAGAGTTCCTGACTCTGCCATAAAACTCGTCTCTTCTTCTGTCACAACTGTGAGGTGCATTTGCCATCTTCTGAACGTACCTTTCACACTTCCGTGACAGCACGGAATTTGTATCAGAGGAAATTTTACTTTCACACCGTTATTTTGTCAGGTCTTACAACAGTTGCTGCAGTGGTTTGAAGCGAGCGGACCATTCACTGGATGTGTATCCCACCCACTGGAAATCATCTCCCTCCTCCATGGCAGTAATTCCTTCTTTCCAATGTTTCTGTACAGCCAAGGTTCAGTATTAAAGCTCATTTCTAAAACAAGGGAAGGCTACAGGAATAAAATCAGCTGTAGTGGAAAGTATAACCTCTGTGGTGAGATGTTCAACCATCACTGATCACAGAACACTGGCAAGCCCTGTTGCCACAGCTACTTCAGCTGCTGGGTCTACATTGCACCACACTAACATCTCAGCTGAGGTCACTCCTGCCACCACATGGACAACCGAAAGTAGCTCAGGGTTCAACACCATGTCTGCTACCAGCAGCTCAGCTGCTACAACAGGAACTCCACAATTACAAAGCTTCTCAGATGCGCAGGACAGCAGAAAGCAGAGCTTAAGCTGACCCGACACTGGTGGTACTGGAGCAGAACAGCCGGCGGGACCACTTTGGTCTGCACGTGCTACAGTAAGAATAAGCGTAGACCATTCACTCAGCTGGACTCTCTGCTCCAGCACCACAGGACAGCTCTATTTCGTACCGCAGAAGCATGTACTCTTAAGGGGAGGAACAGCAGAGGTTTGCTGCCTTAACTGAGCTCCCTATTGCTGTGACAACAGTAAAGCACCCTGATGACATCTGTTCATCTATGAAGAACGTAAAAGTGAGACTTAACATTCAAGTCTTGAATGAGGAATACCGGGGAGTATCCAAAGAAAGATTATTTTTTAAATTTGAAATTGAGTGAGTAGCAAGTATTTTTACTCCTTGTCAAAGACTGGATTTTATGCTAACTCCCGTACAGGAAAAATACATCTAATGCAGCATATAGTAGGTGAGCAGGAGGATGCAAGCACAAGCCGTACATGAGAAATCATGCTCTTTTGCAGATTATACAAAAGCAGCAATTAACACAAACAGGATTTAGGGATGGAAGGCGATGTGGTAAGAATTCCAGGTATGTGAGCAAAGCATCAAGTTAGTCCATGAATACATCCACCTACTGTCTGCTGAGACACAGGCTTCTTGCACCACACACTTTCAAAGTGTAGCTCGTAAAGCCTTCAGCATATGTCAAACCTCAACTCTTTACAATCATTGAAGCAAACCTTGCCAGGAAAGGCAGAAAGGAATTATACTGCAGAAAATCCATACTGAATCCAAGGCAGGAGGTACATCAAGACAGTGCCTTTGATCTCACCAATGCAATCTTTTACATGTGTCATACAGAAGTTAGCTGCACCTGTGGTTAACAAAATTCATGGTCTTCCATTAATAGACATGCACTACTCTCTGTAGGTCCTTTACACAGCTAGTCACATCACTGTTACCACAGTCACCTATACTTGAACTCCAATGTCTTTCTGTTCCTTAACTACTCTAGTACCTATACAAGTGTGATTGCTATGGTACTGCTTACTACAATGTTCTTGACTGACACTCCCCCTTCCCCCCACATGCCTTTCCAAAACCAGTCCAAAACTCAGAGACATTCAGCAACTGAAGATTTTCTGTACTTTTATATAATTCTTCAGAGTATGATTCTTCATAAAACTCTCCACAGTAGCATTTAAAGTCTAAAATCGGCTTTATTTGCAATATGAGATTAGGATAGAGAATAAGCACTTGAATTAATGTGTTTTGTCGGCAAGGATAATCTGAGGCGCATTTTTTTTTTTTTCTTAAAATGGCTGAAGACAGCGTATTTCACTATCACCACTTCCCACTGGGCTTTCGAAAACAAAACAAAAAAATCCCCCAAAGGATGAGCAAATGCATCCTATATATTCAGCGAAGTTATTAAATGAAGAGCAATAATCTGCATTTGTGCTTCTAAGAAAACTCCAACTTCTAATAAAACTCCAACTCAAGTTTATTTTTACATATATTTAGATTTATTTGCTATACATCACTGTGACCTTATAGTACTTAAAATCCATTACAGGATTTTTTTGTTGTTGTAATAATCAGTCTTAACTCCACAAAGACAATAATACTGCTGTGGAAGACCAAAGGGGAGAAAAGCCATTTCAATTTATTTACAGTTCCTTATTCTGTAAACATTTAGTCTACACATTGTACTAAGTTCTAATAAGGATAAAGAGCTATACACAGACACAGGAAACAAAGCCCTGTATTTCTATTCCTATTGAGTATTAGCATATTATAGATGAAACCTCTGCCCTTTCTCATTACCATAGCAGTAAGCTGTCTTCAAACAAGTTTTTAAAACTGTCCAGAGATGTAAATATTTTGAAATAATATACAACTACATCTACTTAAGCCAACTCATTTGGCTTTTATTCCATTTCTAGAATAATTTAAAGTGCTATAAGCAACCCGTCAATCAACATTTCTCTATAATAACAAAACTACTTTAAACATTAATTTACAAGATAATATACAATGTTCATCTGAAATAGCTGAAATATCAGCACAAAGTCAGTCACTGTCACACTTAGCAGCAATTTTTTTTTTTTTTTTTTTTTTGTTGTTGTTTTGTTTTCGCAGAACACAGAATAAAAGCTTCGAAACAAACAGTTTTGTTGAGCTGTTATTGCCACAATGGCTTATCAATTTTCCTACAAAAGTGGACAAGAGCTACTGGAACTGTTTTTTAGCCTGTCATTTTTTTTTTTTTTTTGAGGTCACATGACAGTAAGTTTGCATATTCCACGAGTGTACTGAATTACAATATTGTCTACCTATAGTACATTATCTCATTTTAATCAGAGCTGGTGCTAACTGTAAATTTACAACATAGACCCACTCAAAAACATCACAACTATTTTTTTCTTTGGACAGGAATAAGCTATATTCTTGGAGTTGATGTGCTACACGGCTACAACAGTATAACAGTATAGATCTGACACTTTATGTTGAAAAAAGATGCATCTGCTTCTGTACTTTTAATGCCCTACTATAGCTACAAATTGTTCACCAAGTTTTGCTTGCTTTAGCCTTTTAGTTTTGTGGAACTATGGTTCTTCTATTCCCTTGCTATGCGCTAAGTCCTTGCCACGTAGCTCAATATTGTCAGCATTTGTCCCAAACCTGCAGATCGTTAACAGCATGTGCAAAACACTCTTTAATACAATCAGCATGCAGCTAGAATACGTATTAACTGACTTTTTTCTAAACATGAACAACAAACAAGACAAGTGGCACTGTTGACTTTGGATATCTTCTAACTTCCCCGTATGTGCTGAGAAGGAATGCAAGGCTTCTCGTCTATTTGTGGCACCATATGAATTAACCCATCGTTGGTCCGGACCAATCTCTGCAGTACTGCTGCCAAATACCCACACGCAGCTTTCTTCTTATATAGGTTCACAGAGGGCAACTTCATTCATAGACATAATCTGAATACAAAAATAATAAGCTATATTCAATGAAGCAGCCCCCTAGCAGGATTGCAGAAAGGTGTGTGTGGGAAACCTGGGAGGCAACTGTAATAAGGATAAGAAAATTTTGTATGCTGCGATGCTCAAAGTAACTGATGTTAATTTTTAGTCCACGTGATCTATATTTTGTAAAAGTGTCTACAGCTTAGAAAAAGTAGGACAGTATATTACAGATGCGAGAGCATGAAAAAAAGTCAGCTATTTCAAAACAACAACTAGATGGCCACGCTGAAAACTTACAAAAAAATCAAAATGGTAAAATGGTACATTATATTGCTCGTAGGGATTTCTGAGCTGCGCTGATTCATGTCAGGTTTGGGACAACACCCTGTAGAAATAGCTAAATACTCATTCAAAAGCCCAAATTTCAATGTCTTGAATAATGAAGTCTTCTCGCTTAGAAAGTGTATGATTCCCAAATGTTTTACATGAATGACTTCTTCCATGGTAGAGATCACCATCGAGCCAAAGAGCAAACTCCCCTCTGCAAGACAGACAATGTATTAAAGCAAAAGACTGAGGGAGTAAGCATTAAACTTATCAATGTATTTTTCATTCAGTACTCAGGAACAAGGAGAAATTATAGAATTCTTTTTCAATGTGAGTACCTCATAGCTGCTGATAAACCTGAAGCTGCAAAGATTTCTTTTTTTTTACTATTTATTATTAATTTGGGAATATCCCTCTTTCAGATATTATCAGATAAAAAGCTAAGCATAACTCCTCAGGTTTCAGCCCCTTCCATTTATATTAAAAAAAGACATAATAGTCAATATGCAAGGAGAGTGCTGATAACAAATAATGGAAACATCCCAGCAGCCTACGCACTTGTGTGGGCGGAAAAAAGGGGTGAGACAACATATAATTTCTGAAGGACACTGGCATGTTTTGGGATGTCACAGTTTCAGTTCAAGCCTATTCTAGCTACACATAATTTTCACATTTACGTACCTTCAGAATCATACTATCGTGTCCATTCTGAATATGCCAATACACACACGCAAGTAGAGCATACAAGGCATCATAACCGTGCAGGGGTGAAACCTGATGCCACACTGTGCTGAAGATAAACCTCCTGTTTAAGTTTCCTGAACATAGGAAGCTAAACCTCTGACATACTAAACCTTTCTTGGCTGGTAACTGTTGAGTACTGAGCTATAAACTGAAGTCAATTCCACATTTTCTTTTCAAAAGTGTACAGACATACACGCTTAACAGACTAACAATGAAACAGAAGTTACCACTTACCCTCCTCCACCAAAAGCAAGGGAGTCCATGTCTCCTTTAATGAAGAACATGTTGTCTCCTGTCCATTTGAAAACCTAATAAAAACCCAAAACAGACCAACAAGTTAAAATACCTGAACTTTTGTTTGGGTGGAAGGGAAACCAAATGTCAGTAGAGATAGGCTATGGGTAGACAGACGCCAGTCTATCGAAGTTACCAAGTATACACAGAAAATTCAGGGAACAGACATATGCAGACTAAAATTCTCTTAGGTTTTCTACTATTTGAAATAAGACCATTCCAAAACAGCTAGTCTTTGAGCACTGAAACTTCTACATAATGAAAAACACTAAGAAAATATGCTTAGATTACATGATACGCCCTTTAAAAGGACGTAGTGCAGACAAAAATCTGGCAGTCTTCAGTGCAATGAAAAAGTCAGGTTCAATACATTTTTGACATAGCGCAAACACTACCGATTTACTGCGCACTAACAGACTCTGTGGAAAAACTAGTATGAAGACATTTTGTGGGCCAACTCCTAGAATTTTTCAGATTATTTACTATTAGATTTATTCAGTAAGTACTTAAAGATGACCAATTTGGAAGGGAAAAAAGGAACTTCATACAAAGTTGTTATTACTTACCTCAAAATCTGGAGAAAAAGTGAACATAAAGGTCTCCCCAGTGCCATAAAAGCCATCACTCACTTTAAATGGTTCAGATGCTAGTGCACCAAAAACCTGTAAGCAAATATACGCAAGTGAAAATACTTACGAAAAACTACACAGCATCTGAGAATCTTTAATGATAGTAACTGATAAACAAATCAGGTTGTAAACACCAGATTTGAAATTTACTACAGGATAACCCTTACATGGTATCACAGTTCCAAGTGTATTGATTGAGCTATGGTATGGTGCTTTGTGGTACAATAAGAAGGTAAGAGGACTCTCCATAAACAGTGAACATAGTGAAAAAAATAAATCAAAGGGGTAAAAACTAAACTCAGGAGGTTCTCAGAAACAGCGTATATATTTTTAAAAGTTTCACATCAAAGGGTTCCGCTCCTTCATACGTTAACTCCTCTTCCACATCAACTAGGCTATTTTCAGCAAATTCCTATCTGTACATGAGTTGTTAGTTTTCATGTAATTTATTTGTTCCAATCCAAATTACAGGTAAGCACTGGTTACCCTGTCTTACAACTGAGACAGATTTTAACTAAGCCTTTGCTGGGTACGAAAAGTATTTATAATATTCAGTAATAAGGACATTACAACAGTAGCTAAAAAGGTCTGAGGACTGATAATTGGATTTTTAAATTTGATTAAAGTAGTATTGATTTCTCAGGAGCAAAAAATAACTAGGATCCCCCCCAATTATGCAAAATCAGTACAACATGGGCAAAAATCAGGACTTCTATTGCTAAAAGGAAGCTTGTTTCAACACCTGCAAGAGCAGAGTAGATGCTAGTACCAAAGCACTCCACTAGCACTCCTTCATACATCTGTATAAGAAAAAAAAACAACATGAAGTTTCTGTGGTTTTGTTCACATTAAACAGTGAGTTTGAGAAACATGGGACTGATGAGAGCGAGACATTAAAGCTAGTGTCTTGACTTGGATTATGCTCAGGATATAAAGCAGAAACTATTTTCTTCTGCCCATCCTAAGAAACTCTTTGGCTGAGGGTATGTTTCCCAAGCATTCCTTTCCATGTTGAGATCGAGAGCAGCTGTTAAAACACAAAACTAGGTGAGTGCAAACTTCACATCAGGAACTCGAGGATTATACACAGCTATCAAGCATCTAATAAAGACTGCCCCAGCTCATTTCTTTGAGTTACCAGTTCAGAATAACCAAAAAACCTCTTTATTTCTCAGGAATTGTATATGGTCCAGAAAGCTTCTTGTTCAGAAGCTTCTAATTGAAATAGAAGACAACAAGACTGAAAGAAGAGTCATGTAAAGAAATGACGTGCTCATTATGAAACAAAACACCCTCCTGCACTCAATACACAATCTTCCACTGGCTGGTTATGAGAAAAAAATTATTAGTCTTCTAAAGAATTTCAGGGATAATTTTCTTCAAGCATTCTGATAATGCACATCAGACTGTTGTAAATCTGACAGATCAATCATGCCAATAGCAGGTGCTTTAAATTTTTTTTTTTGAATTCAAGCACTGACATCTTGCAATAAACTTTAAATAATTTTGAAAACAGTGCGCACACTAGCAAACAAAATTAATTTGATGCAGTCAGTACTGCACATTTTAGAAGCCACTGTTGATACCCCATTTTTACAGAGCAGAAGAGGGGTAGGACTTAGATATTAAACTTCTGGTAAGTCAGAATACCTATAAAACCTTCTGTATATTTTTTTTAAGAACATAGTATCACCACTGACAAGATATTTTGGTCATGCGTAACACTTCCTTTATCTAAGTGAAGAGAACTACATTTGAGCATACATGTGACCAATATTTACACTCCAAAATCTGATTCTCTGGAGGAATTGTTAAACTTACTTGACAAGGTGATGAAATAAAGTATCACAGTCAGCTAAAGGTGCTCACTTTTCCAAGACCTGTATCAGTTTCAGACGCATTGTGAAATGGCAAATTCAATCTAAAAGCTTGAAGTTCCATGAACTGGGCTGCAAGTTTCTGTACCTCTGCTTCCACGCAAGCTCACAGGAAACCTAGCACAAAGCTTTCTCTGCATAGACACTTATTTCATTCTGATGAATTCTATTCTATTCTGAATCTATTTCATTGCTGATGACACAAAACTGGTAGGAGTGGTAGATACACCAGAAGGCTGTGCTGCCATCCAGTGACTCCTGGATAGGCTGGAGAGTTGGGCAGAGAAGAACCTGATGAGGTTCAACAAGCGCAAGCGCAGGGTCCTGCACCTGGGGAGGAACAACCCCATGCATCAGTACAGGCTCGGGGCGGACCTGCTGGAGAGCAGCTCTGTGTCCTGGTGGATGACAGGTTAACCATGAGCCAGCAGTGTGCCCTGGCTGCCAAGAAAGCCAATGGGCTCCTGGGGGGGGCTCCCCACTTCAAGAAAGATGAAGAGTTACTGGAGATAGTCCAGCAGAGGGCTACGAGGATGATGATGGGATTGGAGCATCTCTCCTACGAGGAAAGGCTGAGGGAGCTGGGCTTGTTTAGCCCGAAGATGAGAAGGCTGAGAGGGGACCTTATAAATGCTTACAAATATCTGAAGGGCGGGTGTCAAGAAGATGGGGCCAGACTCTTTTCAGTGGTGCCCAGCAACAGGACAAGGGGCAATGGGCACAAATTAGGAAGTTCCACCTGACCATGAGGAAGAACTTCTTCCCTCTGAGGGTGACGGAGCCCTGGAACAGGCTGCCCAGGGAGGTTGTGGGGTCTCCTTCTGTGGAGATCTTCAAGACCCGCCTGGACAAGGTCCTGTGCAGCCTGCTGTAGGTGACCCTGCTTCGGCAGGAGGGTTGGACTAGATGACCCACAGAGGTCCCTTCCAATTCATAACATTCTGCAATTCATTCAACACTGGCAAGACACTTCTCTATTATCCCAGAGTCTAAATGACAACAATAGGCTTGAGAGAAAGAAACCAGCATTTATATTTTATTGTATGGCTAATGTATGGCTAATTTGGGAATCAGCCAAAATTAGACCAAAATGAAGGAATTCTTTAAAGACGAAATGTTTGTTTTCCTGTTACTTTCCAGAAGGCTATTTTGTCTTGTCTTTTTTTTTTCCTCTGTGTGTGTATTTTTAAGGGAGGTTTGAAATGAGTCCCCAGTGTTATTAAAACCTAAAGCTTTTTATACTTTTCTTTTTTCAGCCCACTGCTAGTTGGATGGCCTCATGGGTCAAAGAAAGTTCAAGTGAGAGAGTCAACCTAGTATAACTTCCAACACAGGATTTGTAGTAAATCATGCACAGAATATTAAATGATCATATATTCGAACGGCAACAACAATATCAAAAAAAAAAAAAGGATTGGAGAAGTCCATCTCAATTGTGGCGTGATAGGTGAGGAAGTGCCTGTTAGAACAACAATACAGACAGGGCAATAAAAGAGGAAAAAGAAATTAGGAATTAAGTAGATCTGAACACAGTTATTTGACACTTGTGTAAAGTCAGCTGGCTTAAACATAATCACACTCATTTAGTCTAGTGCTACAGAGATATGCAAATTGTTCTCTTCCCCCACATTTTGTGAGAACTCAAAATTTACACTATAGATAAGGCAGTTAAAACTGCTGCTTGACTTCAGGTTTAAATTATGAGAAGCAATAGTTGTCCTGTTAGAAAGAATACTAATTCTAAAATCCTTTTTCAAGTAATAGGCTTGGCTCAGTTGGAATATGTTTTAAGTGAGAAGACTTGAGAGTCATTCAGAGTAGATGATGATATTTTAGATAGACAGTAGTCAGTCACTCTAAGCCGGCACTTTCAGTATTGCTGAAAAGTCTCTATCGGTAAAGGTTCGGAGAGGGATTTTTCTGTGCATGTTTTACTTCGTTTTGGCTAAAGGCTTCAATGACATCATTCATCATAAAATCAGGTCTTCCAACTGAACTTTACAAATCATTGGTTCATTGTCCTCCAAAGACAACCCACCAAATATCAAAGCATTAGATAACAGAAATTTGATTACCCTAACCCTCAAGTTTCTACTGAGTTGTTTAGCAACATAACATTCTTTCATGGTTTTATTTGGTTATTTCAGTGTCACAAAAACAGTTACCTCCAACCTTCCTGTATATTTTCTGCAACAATAGAATTTGAACTTCAAGCAAGTATTTAATTTTTACCTGATCTTTACTACCTGTTCCACTAACTGTAACTGTCAAGGTTAAAAATTAAAGATGAAAGTCGGAAAGAATATATAATTGCTGTAATCTATTCTGTCTATCGTTCAACTTCTGCAGAAACCAGTACTCCATTTTTTTGTTTCTTTTTTTCCTTTTTTTGTTACCTTTGCACATGTAGTCTCTAAAAAGCAGAATACATGAGACATTTTTTCCTTCTTGTGATTTCAAGTGTCTGAAGCAGTAGGCTAGACTTCAGAAACCTGGGTGTTAACTTTTCTGTCAAACATTTTCCAACCTTTGACTGTGCTTACTACATGCATGCAATTGAACTTAAATAGAGAATCTTTTAGGGTAAAGATGCATACCTAATTTAATTTTTAAAAAGTTTTATTCTTGGACAGAACAAAATGGGCTGCTGAAATATAACCACACAAATATTATCCAGCAACTTCACAGTAACGGGAAGCCACTGAATACTTCCAATTACTTCTTAGTTTATATGTAGCTTCAAATTCTCTTCAGACTGAGTCTCTGAATCCTAACTTCTTACAAGGGCTCAAGCTATTCTTTGAGCAACAGCTCTGGTAGCTACATTCAGGTAGCTAAGACATGTTTTAGTTCAGATCGTTACCCTCAGAGCTGACACTACATCTAGTAAGCAAATATAAGTAAAAAAACCCAAAGTGAATATAAGATTTCATTATCAAGTGACATTCCTTGAGAGGAATTAACCTTCAGTTAAAACATACAGAGTTGTGCCAATCCTAAACTATCCCAGTTCAGCCTCTACACAGGTATGAACTTTTCACACACCACTTATTTCACTGTTTGTCTCAGATCATGTCAGGGCTGTTATCTGTATACCAGCAAAACACAAAGCTAGTACATCCTAACCATATGGAAAACCTTACATGCTTTAATTGAGACTTTGAATTTTGCTTCATACACCAATACAGAAGTATTTTATTTCTAATTATAGAATAACTTAGGTTATAAGAAACCTCAGACGGTCTCTCATACAGTTACCTACTCAAAGGAAGACTAATTCTGAAGCTATATTAGGTTGACTCAGTCTTGTTCAGTTGAGCTTTGAGTACCTCCAGGAATCAGGATTCCACCACCTCTCTACGTACTTGTTCTATACGCTTCTACCAACAAAGCTGGGTCTTGAAAGATCACGTTGTTGGTATAAGTAACATTAAAAGAACCAATCTTTACAGCAAAAGAGCAATTTACTTCCCAACAGTTATTTAGTCCTTTAAGAAGTGACGTCAGTAGGGTTTCTGCATGAGATCAGATTGTTGTGGCTAGTTGTCAGGCTGGATACCTAAAATTCCTCAAGTTCTAGGCTCTGTGTTTCACACTTTTTTAGTGTATATAATACAATCTGAAGAATGACTTCTTATACAGCTAAACAGTCCTTGGGGTGATTAACTGCATTAATACCACTTCTAGACCACCACTTTAGTGACCCATGTTCAGGAATGACGTGTTCATTCCTTTTTAAATGACTGTCAAAGTAGACACCAGAGCTTGGCGTCTTCAACAGAAGCCCATACCAGTAGATGGCAGACAGTCTGTAACAGTTGTAATGTAGATATCTACAGATTTCTTGGGCATCTTTATTAGAGGATCTCTTAAAACTGATTACAGTAGGCAATTTAGGTGGCTTAAGATTCCAACTTTCAACTAGACAATGTTCAGTTTTTAAACAAATAAAGGTTTAGTTTGTGAGAGCTAAGTGTTCTGTCTGCTTTTTTTTTTTTTACAGCCCTTTAAGTAAAATTTCTCATTGATTTTCAAAAGAAATCAAAATGGGAGAAGATTTTTAAAAATACAGGATGAGGTTTAGCAGCCTTTAACGAACAATATTATGAAAAGTTACAAGGGACACTTGCTCCTTACTCAGCTTGTTGTCAACATCAGATAAAGGCTGTCTTCATAAACATGGACAAAGAACAGGGTCTCAGAGGAAGTAACCCAGGAAAGTAAGCTACCATTGTCTTATGTTTCGTGATTATAGATCCTTGCATCAAGAGGAGAAACACTCTAAACTGAATTTCCATAGTTTTTGAATGCAAAGATAGTGTAAAATTAATTTTCTGCTGTCAAATACAAAGACATTTCTTGTTAATAGCTTGAGACACAGAACTACTGAAAACACCACCCTCACTACACTGGTGAAGGACTGAGCACATAAAACTTGTCTGAACCCTTGAACCTTTCCTTCTGTAGCAGGCGTCGCTCGCTGAATACACATGGATTTCAGTCACTCTTGTGTGGAGCCTAGGTAAGATCTGCTGTACACTGTGAAAGACAGGTTCATTGGCTACTTGACCTGAAAGTCCATGGAACACTTTCAGACATGTTCCTGGGCATCAGCCTGTAAGTTGAGATTTGTCGTTTGTTTCACAAAAAAAAAAATCATGACAGGTATCCGAATTCCCTGTTTTGGATGGGCAACCATGACCCTTTTTGAACATGCAAGTTGAGATATTCATATATGGACAGTCGTCTGAATATTTACAGCAAAAGAACAACACTACATGCTGGCGGCAAGACAGCCCTACCAGAAAACAGACATTTTCTTTCTGGGCTAGAAAATCAGGCACTAGGAAGCAGAAAGCTTAAAAATTAATCTTGAGAATCTAGTTAGGGCATCAGAGAAGGGAAGTTACCGAAGTACATTTGAAGAGGCTGATGGGTCTGTTGAGATTTCTGAAGTCTACTGAATAGTTTTCAACTTCAAGGTTAAAAAGTAAATGAAGAAAAATTCCCATT